AACTGAACAAAAGCTGATTTAAGTCATAATTTATCATGATGGGCTGGATTAGTTGCGATCAATTTGAAAACAGTTTATTTTTAACACGTTGCGTATCCGCCCCGTGTGCCACTGACAATGCCGGCTAATGTCTAAATTTATTGACTTTCAAATGGTCGATGCATTGTGATGGCACGTCTACTGCATTGGTTTGTGCCACTTTCAAATACAAAACCAATTGAATAGAGGGATTATAACACCAGGCTTGGAAATTGGGCGTTTTATGCCGCAAAACACAGATATTGAAAGAGGATTTTTGGGAGAAAACCCCGTAAGTCTCGGAATGTCTTGGGACGCGCTTTTTTTTTTTTGGTTTTGTTTTGAGACTTGCCTTTCTGACAAATCAACCACGCCCACAAACAACACAAAAAAAAATAACAGCAACAAAGTTTAGCTGGCTTAAGTGTTTGTAATTGTTATTGCAGAAAACTCGTTCTTTCACTTTGGCTGTTTGGCTTGCAAGCGCGAACTTTATGGTTACACCTACCCGGAACGGCCAGAGCGGCAGATGATCAGCACCGTACCGGGGGTGGGGGTATCGGGTTCTAGCGGTAAATAAAGTTTTGGCCATACTGCCGCGCCCACAAGCTACAAAAAAAAAAAGACGGGAAAGACCACCTAATGAAAAGATGCCAATACCACGGACATCTTTGCCTTTTTTATTTACTTTCTGGGTGCAGTACATGGTGAGTATTAAGAAATTACAAGAGAACGCTTGCCCCACGCATTATACGGAAATTAATTTGCGCGTCCGGCAAATTTAATTCAATTTTTTTAACAGCTCCAGCCAAGTTGGCCAACCTGGGAAACACGCCCCGAAACGAAAGTTGACCCACTGGAAAGCATGGAGTGTGGATTCTTTGTGGGCTTGGTCGCAGATCGGAGTAAATCGCCGAGAGTACGAATTAAGACATAATAAAGCTGTCCCTTGGCCAAAGTTACTTTTTTTTTGGTTTTAGCCTTTTGGAACATCCGTCAAGATTGTTCCTCTGGTAACACGGACACCTTCGCCCCAAAAGAGTGACGAGCCTTTGACTTGACAAGACGTTTTTGGCTTAAACGTTATTTTTGGGGGGTAATTTTAGGACTGGCGGAGGACTGAAGACTCAAGTCCAAAGGAGATTGAGGGCCACATACCCTGAAGTTAATTTTGCACTCGCGGCTGAAAGAATATCTTGGCTCAATGACTGGCTGGATGGCTGTATAGCTGGATGGCTGAGTGGATGTGGTGCCCGTTTGACAAACGAGTGTCATTTATCAAAATGTGACACTATTTGCGCCAAGTCATGTGTTAACTGCACTTTATTTTATTGTTATACTCCCCGGACTCTGAGTGTGTGTTTGTGTGCCTTTTTGGCCCACAGGAACAATATACCGAACACAAAGGGCTCGTTTCCCCCGCCCACCGTCTGTCTTCTGTCTTCTGCCATCGGTTTCTCAAGTGCTCTCATAAAATATATATCATAATTGAGGGTTATGTTGTAGCCGTTGTTTTCTTTTTGGCTTTTTTTTTTTGTATCTTTTTGGGGAATAAGTTAAGAAGTACATATAAAGCAATTGGGCTTGCCACCAGGATGAGGAATGGCCGGATTGAGATATGAGCTTTCAAGTGAGAAAAATGCTGAGTATCACCCGGGGGAACTCTGCAACTCTGATTCCCAAAAAAATCTTCTCCAAGATAAGAGGTAGAATAACTGAATATCTGATTTCCAAATGTTCAAATACTCGTTTGCCATTTAATATGTATAAAATTAATTGAGGAATTTCCCAAAATACTTTATCCTCTGCATAAAAGAAGCAATTTTTACCTTTCCAATTTGTGTTTTTTGGGCGCGACCTGCATTTAGTGGCAGTACTATAAATATTATGATTATGTGCCCCAAACATGGACGGAGTTTTATATTTTGCGCGTTCGCCGCTCTTAAATGTTGTCTTTACCCAAAAAAGTAAAGAAACACGGCGGCGAGAAGGCCAAAACCCAAAAACCAAAGACCGAAAAGTAATTTCTTGCACGACATTAATTTCTTTTAAATTACGCATAATTGAAGTACGGGCACTCGAACTTGATCGATGGTCGAATCGAGTCTCAGAGTGAGTACTCATACGGCGGCCGGAACGAGTTTCCCCCCCACCAGCATCTGATCGAAGAGAAATTACGAAAATATTGCTCCGCCATAATAATTTTATATTTTTTTCTGTTGTGACTTCATGCAGCGAAATGTTTGATCACATTTTGTATACCCTGTCAGGGAGCAATGTTATTTTTTTCAAGCTTCGTTATTTTTACAGTAACTGAGGTTAGACGGGTGGAGAATCGATCCAGAAATCGTTTGAGGTACTCCGCTTAAGAATCGGATGAGAATTGGGGAAGATATAGCCATCACAGTAGGCCCTATAGGGGTAAACCCCATTTTCAGGGGATCCCTATCCCAGATCACGAAATATGAACTGTGAAAAATATTTTGTCTCAGGGTTTTGATGCAGAATGGTGGAGAATCGAACTAGAAATCGTTTAAGGTACTCCGCTTGAGATTCGGATGAGAATTGGGAAAGATATAGCTATCACAGTGGGCCATATAGGGGAAAACCCCATTTTCAGGGATTCCCTATCCCCGATCACGAAAAATGGACAAAAAATCTCAAAAATATTTTGTCTCAGGTTTGTGATGCAGAATGGTGGAGAATCGGTCCAGAAATCGTTTAAGGTACTCCGCTTGAGAATCGGATGAGAATTGGGGAAGATACAGCCATCACCGTGGACCCTATAGGGGAAACCCACATTTTCAGGGATTCCCTATCCCCGATCACGAAAAATGGACAAAAAATCTGAAAAATATTTTGTCTCAGGTTTGTGATGCAGAATGGTGGAGAATCGGTCCAGAAATCGTTTAAGGTACTCCGCTTGAGAATCGGATGAGAATTGGGGAAGATACAGCCATCACCGTGGACCCTATAGGGGAAACCCACATTTTCAGGGATTCCCTATCCCCGATCACGAAAAATGGACAAAAAATCTCAAAAATATTTTGTCTCAGGGGTTTGATGCAGAATGGTGGAGAATCGAACTAGAAATCGTTTAAGGTACTCCGCTTAAGATTCGGATGAGAATTGGTGAAGATACAGCCATCACAGTGGGCCCTACAGGGGAAAACCCCATTTTCAGGGATTCCCTATCCCCGATCACGAAAAATGGACAAAAAATCTCAAAAATATTTTGTCTCAGGTTTGTGATGCAGAATGGTGGAGAATCGGTCCAGAAATCGTTTAAGGTACTCCGCTTGAGAATCGGATGAGAATTGGGGAAGATACAGCCATCACCGTGGACCCTATAGGGGAAACCCACATTTTCAGGGATTCCCTATCCCCGATCACGAAAAATGGACAAAAAATCTCAAAAATATTTTGTCTCAGGGTTTTGATGCAGAATGGTGGAGAATCGATCCAGAAATCGTTTAAGGTACTCCGCTTGAGAATCGGATGAGAATTGGGGAAGATACAGCCATCACCGTGGACCCTATAGGGGAAAACCCCATTTTCAAGGATTCCCTATCCCCAATCACGAAAAATGGACAAAAAATCTCAAAAATATTTTGTCTCAGGTTTGTGATGCAGAATGGTGGAGAATCGGTCCAGAAATCGTTTAAGGTACTCCGCTTGAGAATCGGATGAGAATTGGGGAAGATACAGCCATCACCGTGGACCCTATAGGGGAAAACCCCATTTTCAAGGATTCCCTATCCCCAATCACGAAAAATGGACAAAAAATCTTAAAAATATTTTGTCTCAGGGCTTTGATATAGAATGGTGGAGAATCGATCCAGAAATCGTTTAAGGTACTCCACTTGAGAATCGGATGAGAATTGGGAAAGATATAGCCATCACAGTGTGCCATATAGGGGACTATATAATATTTCCAACCTATCGGTAAAAGGTGACATTTAGCTTCAAGGGTGTATAATCTTCGGCTTCCTTTATTATTTTCCAAAACAAGAGACCAAGTTCTTGGGACAAGCAGGGCGACATTGACATTCGAATTAGACACCTGACAGCAGAATATCAAAGTCACTTCATACTTTGTCAGGTGTGACGCTATTAAGTCGATTTCGTTGCCGTAATTCGACGATTTCTTCTCTGTGCCCTCTGCTCATTGAAGCCTTGGCTCCGATCATTTGAAATTTGATTTAATTTCTGTTCACTCTCTTTGTATTTTTTTTTTTGGGTCTTTGTGTTCGTCGGCCGACCTGTCAGTCAGTATGAAATTTCATATTGTTGTCGCCGGGGTCTCGCAGGTATTTAGTTTTTCATTTTGGACTGCTTTGGAGGCTTTGTTGGCCCAATAAGCGGATTTTTTATTACATCAGTTTAGTGTCACATTAGCACCCATGCACTTCTCAGTCTGAGTCGCAGTCGCAGTGTGGGCGACACATATATTTGTATATTCCATCCGTTCGGATTTGTTGGCCAAAAAAAAAAGAGAACTACGTTTTATGACCACAACTCACCGGGCTCAACGAGCCATTCCAATCGCAATCTGCATCGGGATATCTGGAATCTTGGCCTGCAGCTCTTTGCCACACGTACGAATCCGAATGGAATCCAAGTCGAATCACATAAAATCTTTCAGCGAAATGCGCGCAGAACATATTATATGAATTTCTTAATTTTTGCAAAACCGAGGAACGAGGAGTTGCCCTGATCTTTTTTATGGCATTTCGTTTTGCCGAGATGCTATCAGTTGACTTTTGTTTCAGGTTTTTGGTCTTTAAATTGGCTCGAATCCAGTGGTCTCCAGGTCGATTCACTGCATGAATCATAAGCCAGTTAAAGCCGAATTCCTAAATGTTCGTTTAAGCTCACGTTACTTATTATTGCCGGGTCAATGTATTTGGCACTTGCAACCTAGTTTCGATTCCAGCCAGGCCGTAATTAAAAGCTCGAGAAATCAATTTTGTACTCTCGAGTCTCGACAATCGTAGCTCCACTTGTCAAATATTTTATAAGCCCCCGAAAATGGTGACCGTCACTTTCTGTTGCTATTTCTTTAGCCTTCGGGCTGGATGTATTATGAGCGGCCTTTGGCTGATAACTTATTACTGTGTACTGGCTTATATGATGTATTCTGAAATTGTGGATCCCAGATATGAGGAGGGAAAATCTTGGGATACTTGGGACGAGGATGTTACCGCTGACTTGCAGGGATTTTGGGTGCTTGGAATTGCCTATCTGGTGATGGATTTTGTTTCTATATTTTTGTTATTTGGTGGAATTATGGTAACTATTTGTCATCTTTTCAGTGGGAAACTCTTATAATATTATCTGCAGAAATCCATCACTCTCTTGAGTATGTTTTTGGTGCTGCAGATAGTTCCCATGTCGGTGAAGGCCTTCTTTATGCTGTGGGCCATTGTCTCCGGCCTTGAACTTGAATCTGCACTTACCTATCTTTTACCAATGAGTAAGTATTCATAGTTTCTAATATGGGCTTTGTAAAACTAACAAATTTATAGTTTTTCTTCTTTATATCGATCTGGTTGCATATTCCTATCTGCAAGCTGTTAGGTTTAAGAAGAAAATATTATTTTCCTCTGCCATTTCCATTGAGTATTAGTTTAGTGGGTACTCGTATGCTCATGGGCTTAATATTCAAATTCGTAAACAACTTTTTCCGGTAGAACAGACAGCAGACAAGAAAGATAAGCTCGGTTGACTTTCCAGCAGAGAGACATGTCAAGAAATGAAAACAAAAATGATTTATCATAATGGGAGTTGGGGCCGAAGAAGCTGGATCCGATTCAGAATTGGGACCGAGAATGTCAGGGGCATTGGGAGTTGGGGCTTGGGGCCTGTGCTCCCAGCGGTGTTGCCTAAACGGGCGATAACGGCCAAGACGAAGATGGGACAGGAATCAAGAGAACGGCCACGACCGAAAAGATATCGGGATCGGTCTCGGAACGCTGCGTCTGGATGTCAACTCTTCATATAAAAATTAACGAAATATAAATTAAAAAGTATGCCCTACCTCTCCACCACAGGGCGATGAAATAAAAACCAGAAATATTCGTTTTTTTTTCCTGTACGATTTACGAGTATTGTCCCTTCTGGTTTCGAGTTACGCCTGCGCGACATTGTTGCCTTGTTTCGGGCAGGCCCCAAAAAAAACAACAGAATTATGAATTGGTCGCTTATCTTGGGGAGTGCATCGCTGCGTTTAAGCCTTTATCTATGGGACTGAGAATTTTTATCTAATGGAGGCAGCTTCTACCCATTGATTGGGGTCTCGTTGGGAGTCTGGTTTCATTTCTGACTTATGACAGGGTCGGATCTTGGCCGCCTGTGCTCTGATAGCTTCATAAGCCGACTGCCGATAAGGTCAAATCCGAGAGCGCTAATTGCCAGCAAAAGTCCAGACGCCATGGAAGCCAAGGGAGTGCCCCGGCCCCCAGCCGGCTGCCCCCAACCCCTGGACAGATCTCTGGTGGCGTATCACCTGCGTGTTATCGCCAGACAAATGCATTTTGCAAATTATTAACATATGTGCCGGCTGTAACACGGCCAAAAACAGCACCAGCAGCAGGCCAGGCAGCAGCCGCGAACATGTGCAGATACAGATACATTTGTATCTGACGCCAATGGGTAGGAAGCTGGATTTCGCTGTGGCTGTTGGCTGCTGGCTTGCTGGCTGGTGGCTGCCTGGCTAATTGATGTCGGTGCACAAAACTTGATTTATTTCTATTAATAAAGCCCCAATGCAAAGCGGCAGTGCGGGCTTGTTGGATTGGTCAGATAGCAATACATTTTCGGCTGCCTTATTTGGTTTTTGGAAACACGAACTGCGGCGGTGAACCCGGTGCGAAATGAGAACTCCCAGTGCAGATAAAATAATACAACATTGTTCCCGACACCTGTTGGTATTTGGCCAATTTCGAGCCATATCATCCATTGGCAGATTTCCAATTGGGCTGCAAACGTCGGGGCCAATAAATTGCTTGTTTAGCCACAATTACACACATGAACGGCCGCCGAAAATGGACAACAACATCAGAAATTATCTATGCAGTGCTGTTGTTGCCGCTGTTGTCGATAAAAATCACATGAAAACTTGGTTGCATAAATTTTAACACCGATTTTAATCGCAGCATTGTCGAACGGGCGAGCGAGCACTCAGTTGGACAACTCAGTGGGTCCCGCCGATATTCCGACCAACTCTCCGACACTTTATGGCCAACATTTTTGGTGGTAATTACCAGCCGGCAGCAGTTCCGGTGGTGCATCGAATCCAAACTATAATTTTGTTATAAATTATTGATATGTCAAATCAAATTCTCGGCCAGTTTTCGTTTTATTGAAGTTGAAATTGAAGATTTATGGCCGGCAATTTTATATTTAAGAGGAGTGGTGGGTTTGAAATGTTTCCCAGTGATTATATCTCTTTAAAACATTAGTCAATTTTTAATAAAATGTAACTTCTTTAACTAACCTCGTGTGGAAATATTTTTATATGAGGAAAGACTTGGTCCGGCAAGACAGATTACGACCACGTCTGGGCGTCTGAGGCCGGCGGACACATACAACACTTTGCTCTACAAGGCAACGATACGGAAAATACGCAAAGATTTTCCCTGTTTTCATGGCAATGCAATTTTCAACAAAGTTACCTCATTTTTTTGCTCGTGCCGACTTTTTTTTTTGTAGGCTTGACATAACTGGAGCGTTTTGGCTTTGGGTTTTCGCCCAAAAAGTAAAGCGAACGCCTCAACCTGATTTGGCAGTCGACCCCACTTGGGCGCTCTGTCCAACAAAATGCTCCACGCTTGTCTCGGCCATTTGCATTTCGATCTTTTGCGGCTAACTGGCTAGCTAGCTGGGTAGCTGGCTAACTGGCCAAACGGCCAACAAATCCTACTGCAATAAAAGTTTTCTGTTTGCTGTTTTCAGTCCCGTAGAAAATTACAAGACCCGCGAGGCGGGGGAGGACATATGGACGTAGACGTGGATGTGGCTGTGGTCTGGGATATGGACATGGACATGGACGCGGACATGGGGTATGTGTGTACCAGAAGGCATTTGTTTGGTAGTTGAACCACATTAGACTTTCACTTTTCAGCCCCACAAATGGCCATTTGGGCGATTTAGCCGCCCGAATGCGCTTTAAATTTATGTTGATTGGCCAAGTTGGTTTTTGGTTAAATGTTGTTAAATTGTTTTCCGCCGAAATGACATGTTTTGACAAATGATTTGGGCCTCTTTTGGGCGGATTCTTGTATAACCCAGCATACTTGTTGATTTGTCATTTGAAAAATGTTGATTGAAAATGCGAGTCCAGTTCTTGGAACAAGCCATAATAAATCCAGGGGGATTAAGTTTTCGGGTGTATTTTTTTATGTTTTGGCCATAAAAACAACGGGGCATGAATCCGAATCTTTTGACAATGCCGAGTCCAAATGTTCCACAAATAAATACTAATAAACTACCGAAACAGGACATGAGAGTTTGGTGATTGGCCTGTTAGGCCATCCTTCCTTTCGCGTACTACATAAATTTCAATATTTATGGCGAAATTTTTTCCCACTGCCACAACAGCAACACATGGCCGAGATAAACATCCAGAGGGCCCGAAACAAAAAAGCAGTTACAGAAAAAAAAACGAGAAAAGGGAAAACATCAGGCCGTACTCCCGAATTGCGATTCGGATTTGTGGGCGTATGACAAGCCGCCTGCCGCCTCTGGGCGTAACCCAAATAGAGGCGTTGACGTTTACGTTCACTCCTTCCGCCAAAAAGGACGACACTCGTTTCTGGCTAACTAACGATCGGACCGAAAGACCAGGGATCTGGACCAAAGACCAGAGACCCCGGAGAACATTGCGCAAAGGCCGTAAATCGCTGCGACATAAATTCAGTGCACTTTCTGACGTTTTGCCTGCCTCTTCTGCCTTTCGACCCTCTGCCTCTGTTGGTTATTTGGTTACCTGGCGCACCTGACACAAATTTTCCCTGCTCCCGGATTTTCTGCGCTAATCTCTGTAAACAAATCACTGACGTCCTGCCATGTCCTTGGGGACGTGTTGGTTTAATTGCCGCCAGACGTCGAAATTTATGAGCATCAATAAAGTGTCAACTTTTGTTCGAGCTCCCGAGTCTCTGAGGCACTGGGTTTTTGGTTGCATATTGGCCAAAGCGAAAAAGGCCAGAAAAATGCGCTTCTGGTTGTAAATCATCTCGAAGAGGCTTTCCAGGAAACTAGTCTTCCCGCACCCATCCTCCTGCTGATTCTTAACTTGGCCGAGACACGCTAGCCGGGCCCGGCCCGTCTCGACCAAGAGAGCTGGGCGAGTTTTGGCATTTGCATTTCAATTGAAGCGAGTAATTAATGTATCGCATATCTGTAGAATTTTAATTGCCAAGTCAATGCACTCGGCCAGAGCCGGATCAGATGAGGCTGGATGGAAGTGTACAGAGAAGAAAAAAGTTCAAATATCTCAAGGTATTCCTAGGCTACCATCAACTTCAACGTAATATCTCAATGAAAAATTTAATTTTTTACTCAAACAAAAAATGCTGATTATTGAATTTCCAGTTTTTATTTACACATATTTTTCAAGCAAAAAATGTATCTTTTTTCTGTGTAATTTGGGTGGTGCCGAATGACCGTGCCCCCGTGTGGTAAGAGTCGCGCGTGGGGCCCTGTCACGTACCGCTCTACTAAGCCTCACAATGCCAGCTGCCGCACAGAAGACTCGCTCGACAATTAAAATATGAAAGGGTTTCCCCACCTCCGGCGATTAGCTATTCTCGTTCAGCACTCTAACAAAACCGCAGAACCCAGTCATGGTAGTGGCCGAAATCCACATCATAAATAGCCTGGTCAAAGCCCCGGGATTCGATGGCCCCTTCTCGCCTTCCCCTCTTTCAAATTTCTGACTGCATTGCATATTTGTGGCTGAACAACACGAAAAAAATTGGGAATTGGAAAACAAATGCTGCAAGAGTTGGCTGCCTGTGCCGCACGTGATGATTGCATCATTGTGTCAGCTTAGTACGTGCTTCGCTACGGGCTTGTCACATAAAAAATGACACTGAATTCCGGGCATTCTACCCAGAGTTCTATGAAGTTTTCCCATTTTTCCACTGCACATTAGAACCGATAGAGCCGAGCTGCGTGATTTCTGCATTTTAGACAGATGTTTGGCGAATCTCACAGAAAGACGATAAATTCATGTTTGGCCAACACGTGGTGAGATTTCTGGGATTGGAGGAAATATCCAGGACAATGGATTTCGACTTGGACACTTGTCCCTTTGGAAGAGGGAAACAATACAAAATAAAAGAATCGGATAGCAAAGGATTTGTGGCTTAATTTGCGGGGTAAGCTGCTTAAAAACTAACAAAAGTATTTGTCAGTTAACCAAGAGGAAGAGGAGATTGATTTTTATAAAAATTGTTCTAAATTTTACAAACCAATTCCACCATCAACTTTTACTGACGCCTTTCCGTCTGACCTTTTCGGCCGTGTGACTCATGGGATTTGATGGTATATGCCACAAAAACGTTGACCGATATCCGCTTTATTGTTATGCAAAATCCGGACATAGAATTCATAAAGGGCAATATTAAAAACTCATAAAACCCAGGATTCAGAGCAGGGCCTGATTGTATCCCGGCCAACTTTCGCCTGTGATACGAAGCTGGAGCATTATATGGTTTAGGCTTTTTTTGACCATCTCTTTTTTTGTTTGTTCCTTTTCGGTATCCACAAAAGGGCAGTCGATCCCGGGAGCTGGGGGCCTTCATATAATTTATGAGAAATGCACGCATTAAACTTCATTAGATCGAAATTTAAGGCTGCGACCGAGGCATTTGGGGGCCCATAAAAAACCAGAACACAAAAGTATCTTTCGCTTTTTGTTTGCAATTAGTTCGACAGAAGCCGCACAAAAAATATATGTATGTGGAGCTGCTGCAGCAAGTTCATTGAAGAAGCCTTCGAGCAAATATCAAAGACTCGACAGCGAAGGCGGCGG